TGGCATGACAAACGAGATGTCACACTGTTGTCATCAGTTCACCCTAACGAAATGGCAGACACTGGCAGGCAGCACAGAGAGAGCAATAAACCCATTCTAAAACCTGCAGCTGTGATGGACTACACCCTCAATATGCATTCAGTGGACAAATGTGACATGCAGACTGGGTTTGCTGATTGTGTTCACAAGAGTTATAAGTGGTACATAAAACTCTTTTTCCATATTCTGGACATTTCCATGCTCAATGCTTATAATATGTATAAGATGAGGACCAGAAACAAACCACCATATGGCAAATTTTGTTTGTCTGTCATTAGACAAATAATAATCAAGTGCCAAGGAACAGCACCTGCAATAGAAAACAGCCCACGAAATTATCAACAATTACCTTCTCGTCTGAGGCCTAGTGATCACTTCCTAATGAAACTGCCTGCTACTGCTTTCAAGAAAAAGGCTCAGAAGAGGTGTTACATCTGTGCACATACAAAAAAGCGCCCACAACAATGCAGAGACACTTGTTTTATGTGCAAGGAGTGTAAAACATAATTGTGCATGAGACTGTGTTTCAAAGACTTCCACAGGCTGCAGAACTTCTAATAACATGTCCAATGACTGTATATATGTATACATAATATAGAAAAACTGCAATAAACAACATTTTATTTTGTTCATTTGTGTAAACATGTTTTGTAAACAATATAATGACAACAGTGTTTGTGTAGTGACAGTGTAGTATAGAAAGAGTGAATATATAAAAGTAGTCCTCATATTGGTCTCACAGGTCATAAAAGTTACTTGAAAAGAAAAAAAATATTAAAATATAATAGGAAAAGGTAGAAAAAAAAAAAATAAATGATAACCGGGTGACCGGCAGTCAGTGATGTTGCTGTATGCGGTTCAATTTCTGTCAACTTCACGCCTCTATATCTCGGTAAGTACTGATGGCAAAAAATTTTTTAGCCTATAAAATTTAGGAAAAAAAAAAATTATCTTTTCATAAGAAAAAAAAATTTTTTTTTTAGAATATTTTTCAACCCTGAGAAGAAGTCTGGTGGTGATTTCAAAGTGAAGCCTTTACTGGTGTATCACTCTGAAAAGCCCAGTGTTTTCAAGAAAAACAGTGTTGTCATGAGTAAACTGTGTGTGATGTGGAAGGCTAACAGTAGAGCATGGGTCACTAGGAAAATTTTCCTGGAATGGCTCAATGAAGTGTTTGGCCCGAGTGTGAAGAAATACCTTCTGGATAATAAATTGCCACTCCAGTGCCTCCTGTTAATGGACAATGCTCCGGCTCATCCCCCAGACTTGGAAGACCAATTGTCTAAAGAATTCAGTTTCGTAACAGTGAAATTCTTGCCTCCTAACAGCACTCTTTTCTCCAGCCCATGGTCCAGCAGATCATTGCAAACTTCAAAAAACTGTACACCAAAACAATGTTTCAAAGGTGCTTTGACATAACCACAGACTCTTAATTGACCCTAAGAGAGTTCTGGAAGAATTACTTCAATATCTTCCACTGGAAGGAATATTTTGAGGAATTGTTAAATGTTGATGAAGATAGGGAAGCTGTGATTTCGTGTATAGGGCAAGGAGGAATAACATCTTGAAGGAGTGAGGAAGAGCCAGTTGTGAGTGTGGGGAAAGTTCGTGAGGCAGTAGGTAAAATGAAAGGGGGTAAGGCAGCCGGGATTGATGGGATAAAGATAGAAATGTTAAAAGCAGGTGGGGATATAGTTTTGGAGTGGTTGGTGCAATTATTTAATAAATGTATGGAAGAGGGTAAGGTACCTAGGGATTGGCAGAGAGCATGCATAGTTCCTTTGTATAAAGGCAAAGGGGACAAAAGAGAGTGCAAAAATTATAGGGGATAAGTCTGTTGAGTATACCTGGTAAAGTGTATGGTAGAGTTATTATTGAAAGAATTAAGAATAAGAGAGAATAGGATGGCAGATGAACAAGGAGGCTTTAGGAAAGGAAGGGGGTGTGTGGACCAGGTGTTTACAGTGAAACATATAATTGAACAGTATTTAGATAAGGCTAAAGAGGTTTTTGTGGCATTTATGGATTTGGAAAAGGCGTATGACAGGGTGGATAGGGGGGCAATGTGGCAGATGTTGCAGAAGTATGGTATAGGAGGTAGGTTACTGAAAGCAGTGAAGAGTTTTTACGAGGATAGTGAGGCTCAAGTTAGAGTATGTAGGAAAGAGGGAGATTATTTCCCAGTGAAAGTAGGCCTTAGACAAGGATGTGTGTCTCACCGTGGTTGTTCAACATATTTATAGATGGGGTTGTAAGAGAAGTAAATGCGAGGGTCTTGGCAAGAGGTGTGGAGTTAAAAGATAAAGAATCACACAAAGTGGGAGTTGTCACAGTTGCTCTTTGCTGATGACACTGTGCCCTTAGGTGATTCTGAAGAGAAGTTGCAGAGGTTGGTGGATGAATTTGGCAGGGTATGTAAAAGAAGAAAATTGAAAGCGAATACAGGAAAGAGTAAGGTTATGAGGATAACAAAAAGATTAGGTGATGAAAGATTGGATATCAGATTGGAGGGAGAGAGTAGGGAGGAGGTGAATGTATTCAGATATTTGGGAGTGGATGTGTCAGCGGATGGGTCTATGAAAGATGAGGTGAATCATAGAATTGATGAGGGGGAAAAGGGTGAGCGGTGCACTTAGGAGTCTGTGGAGACAAAGAACTTAGTCCTTGGAGGCAAAGAGGGGAATGTATGAGAGTATAGTTTTACCAATGCTCTTATATGGGTGTGAAGCATGGGTGATGAATGTTGCAGCAAGGAGAAGGCTGGAGGCAGTGGAGATGTCATGTCTGAGGGCAATGTGTGGTGTGAATATAATGCAGAGAATTCGTAGTTTGGAAGTTAGGAGGAGGTGCGGGATTACCAAAACTGTTGTCCAGAGGGCTGAGGAAGGGTTGTTGAGGTGGTTCGGACATGTAGAGAGAATGGAGCGAAACAGAATGACTTCAAGAGCGTATCAGTCTGTAGTGGAAGGAAGGCGGGGTAGGGGTCGGCCTAGGAAAGGTTGGAGGGAGGGGGTAAAGGAGGTTTTGTGTGCGAGGGGCTTGGACTTCCAGCAAGCATGCGCGAGCATATTTGATAGGAGTGAATGGAGACAAATGGCTTTTAATACTTAACGTGCTGTTGGAGTGTGAACAAAGTAACATTTATGAAGGGATTCAGGGAAACCGGCAGGCCGGACTTGAGTCCTGGATATGGGAAGTACAGTGCCTGCACTCTGAAGGAGGGGTGTTAATGTTGCAGTTTAAAAACTGTAGTGTAAAGCACCCTTCTGGCAAGACAGTGATGGAGTGAATGATGGTGAAAGTTTTTCTTTTTCGGGCCACCCTCCCTTGGTGGGAATCGGCCAGTGTGTTAATAAAAAAAAATTAATAATAATATTGAGTTTGTTACTAAGGTATGACTTTAGGTAGTTGAGGGAGTGGGCAAAGTGGGTTGAACTGCAAACCTTTATGGATGAAAATCACCCTAACACAGCCATTGCAAGCCGTGCTGGTGACTATTACAATGACAATGTTGTGGCCCATTTTAGGCAAATCTTAAAGGAACACGAGGTACAGAGCTCTATGGACAGATTTGTTGTGCGACAGAGGTCCAGTGACTCTCAAGCTGGTCCTAGTGGCATTAAAAGAAGAAGGGAACCCTGGAAAAGGACTTGCTACCTCAAGTCCTCATGGAAGGGGATTCCCCTTCCAAACAATAACAACTTCCACCATCTCCCCTCCTCCCATCCCATCAGTCATCACCAGATCTTCAATAAAGGTAAGTGTCATGTATTCTTTATTTAGTACAGTAGTAACTGTGCATGTCGTCTTCTCTTTGTGTGTAGGAAAATGTATATTTCATGTTGTAAAAATTTATTTTTTTCATACTTTGGGGTGTCAGGAACGGATTAATTTGATTTCCATTATTTTTTATGGGGAAAATTAATTCAGCTAACGATAATTTCATCTAACAATGAGCTCTCAGGAACAGATTAATATCGTTAGCCAAGGGTCCACTGTAGATGGATTAATGAAAATGTTTATATTAATGTAATACACAACATTTAATGCACCTCAGAGTGATTATTATTGTGTATTATTAGTGATTTAAATGTGTACCTGCATGCCAGCACAGTGTTTAAGTTTATTTAGGTACAGGTACACATAAATATTATTATCAGAGTGTATATAAAACATGAAATAACTTTAGAACACTTGAAATTTTGGTAAGTTTCCAGACATAATAGAGACACGCGGTGCTCACAGAGCTCGTGGAAAATGTAAACAAACTGGGTGGGGCACAGTGACCATATTAGAAAGTCAGGTGGGGAGCCATATAGCGAGTTTTCGTCATAATTTGAAATGTCCATATTAGTGGAATGCCATAAGGTGTAACGCCACACAGTGGGGCCCTACTGTACATGTAAATAGGTCAGAAATGTTACTCTGCTATAAAACTGTGAGAAAGGAGAGCCTTCCCAATAATGTAGGGTCAGTGATGGATAGTTTGAAAGCTGCTTTTTTAAGCTGGTTACCTTGAAAGTTGATATTTTGAAAAGGCATTCAGTTTTACAATAAAGTTTAGTGATGAGCGTGTGTCAGCTGATCATGTAGTCAGGCAAAGTTACCGTGCTCACTTTGTGCAAATTATTCCTAAGAACAGTTACACTCCTGACCAAGCATTTAATATTACTATGAGTTTACATTAGCAAGAAAGAAAAAAAAATGCAGTCAGTTTCAAGACAGCTAAGAACTGCCTCACCTTGCTTCTCTGTGCTAATGCAACATGTGATTTCAAGTGCAAACCTATGATAATTTATCACAGAATCCCTATGCTTTAAAAAGTTTGCTTGTTATTTGCTGTTTGCTTGTTATTTGTTTGTCAAATTAAGGCCCTCATTTTATTCTTGAAATGAGGATATACAGTGGACCTTTGGTTTTCGTGTTTGAGAGGGTTTACTGTATATTACTGCATATTAAATGTTAGGTTCACACTTTTAAATATTAAACTTACCCATTCTAATGTTTGAAACAGCGAAGTGGCATAGATAAAATGGTATGACCAAGATAAGCATTATCAGCATTGAGTAAAGAACCACCTGCCAGTAGAGATAACGAGACCTGAAAATGTAATACAGAACAGGTTAATATTCTGAATACATTATAAGTTTATATAACAACAAATCATAAAACATAATACACTACACTATATACTTACCATAAAACAATGCTAAGCCTCTATATCTAAATATTTATTTTTCTAAATTTAGCCTTTCAAGTTAGGAATCACCGAAAAAATGAGATCTAATACACAATACAGGCAAATTACTGTCTGTATCACACACTGTTGTGAGGATCTGTGGCAACTTCCTCAGCTCTTCACTCCAATATCTACATCAATATCTTCTAATGTTTAGGTTTAACAATTAAAGGTTCAGATATTATGTGTGGTGGAGTGTTAGAATCTATATAAGTGGTGATGGCAGATGTTGCATAATGGCAACTACCCAGTACAGTGGAACCTCGGTACTCGAACTTAATTGGTTCCAGAAGGCTGTTCAAATGCCGATCTGTTTGAGTACAGAACAAATTTTTCCCAACCAATTTTCTTTTTGGTTGGCTGTTATCACCAACCCTCTTAGGCCCCATGGTGGCTTATTTATACAATATAAAAAAAAATGAGAAGAAATATGAAATAGTTTACAGCGAAGTTCTGGCAGGTCATGTTTGTATGGTTGAGTGCCAAGCAAATGGTCGACTACTGAGCAATTTCTTTACCAAACACTCAAATACTGAATTTTTTGAGTATGAAACTGTTCGAGTACCGAGGTTCCACAGTATGTAGTAGCAGCGTTCTTTAACCCTTTGACTGTCGCAACCCCAAATCCTGAATTCAGTGTCTCCTGGTGTCGAAGAATTTTCAAAAAAAAAAAAAAAAAAATCTTATGAAAATGTTAAGATTAATTTTCTGATTTTTTAAGCCCACACAAACTTTTTTGCAATCAGTACTTTCCGAGATATAGAGGTGTAAAGTTGGCAGAAAATAAGCCGTGTATGGCAACAGCGGCAAATGCCGCTCACCCAGTAAACTTTTGGTTTCCTTGAATTCCAAGGTTTCTTGTTTTTTTCACTATTTTATTTTTCAGGCAACTTATGTGGCCTGTGAGTCCAAAGTAAGGGGCAATGTTGTTATGGCCAAGGTCATAATGAGATTAATTTATATGTATTATCCACTTAATATTATAATCGGGGTTTCTTTAATATTAGCTAAATTAAAGATACCACTAGTTTATAATATTATCTGATTTAGGAATATACCCGGGTATGATGTGTATATACAGTGGTCCCTCATTTTTCGTAATTAATCCGTTCCTGGAGGAGCTACTATAAACGAAATTTACGATTTGCGAATCAATTTTCCCCATAAGAAATAATGTAAATACAATTAATCCGTTCCTGACACCCAGAAGTATTAAAACAAACAAATTTTTTACATGAAATATACATGTAGTACAAACAATACAATGGGAAATGATGAATGAAACATTAACAGCATAACACTTACCTTTATTGGAGATTCTTCTCAGTGTATGGGAGACTGGAGGAGGAGAGAGATTGGATTGTTTACTTTTTGGAAGGGGAATCCCCTTCCAGCAACACCTCAGGTACCAATTGCTTCTCTGGGGTTGCTTCTCTTCTCTGTTTCTTAATGCCACTAGGACCACCTTGAGAGTCACTCTAGTCCTGTCTCGCAAAGTAACTGTGGAGAGAGCTGTGTTTCTGGCATCTCTTTAACACTTCCCTAAAATGGCCCAAGACTTTGTCACTGTACATATTTCTCACCTTCTTTACCACAGGCTTGGCACTAGGAGCTTTCTTTGGAGCCATGGTAGCTTATTTAGTACTTGCAAGCACTAAAATGAGTGGAATATTATGAAATATTTCGTAGGAGCACTTGAGGAGACCTTCACTCACTGGTAAACAATGCCAGACTGGCTGGGTAGGGAGGCCTCCCCGGCTCACACCATGCGTACGCGTCCCGGATGAACTACTATTCGCGAGTCAACCTATGAAAAGCGAGTCCATGTTTATATGAAAATACCCCTATGATTGGTGAAATTTACGATTGCCGAGAACTACGAAAAGCGAGGGACCACCGTATACATATATTTACGTATTTTGAGTAATGTGTTAGGTAGGTAGGTAACAGCTGGCTAAAAGTTGAAACAAGGTATGTCCTTGGAGGGTAGTTTAGTCTACTATTCCCTCTTCCCTTTGGTGAGTTGATGTCATGTAGAGATTAACTGTGTTAATTCAGTTCGCTCTCTCTGCCGACTCAGTGTGCATTGACTGAGCTACCCCCCTAGTACTCCGCCTTATTCTCACTTGGATAGAGAATTCTGTTGTAGAAACTCCTGAACCAGCTTGTGGTTTATTGTGAAGTGAAGTCTGCGGACAATTATATACTGTTACCTTCAGTTTACGATGTGACAACCAGTGTCAAGCTTAGAACTTTGTGATATACATGTATTCCTTATGCCAGGGAGTTACTCAGTGAAAGTGTTAATTCTCAATATATGTACTTGCACACAAGTAATGTTACTATTGAGGAAGCAGTAATATTCCTCTGATCATTATCAAGAGTAGTGACCATATTGACAGTCTCCAGAGGGAGTCTATGATGTACATTCTATTTAAGAGTTTTCTTGTGTGAAGGAAAGTTTCTGACCAAAGTGATATTTAATAGATATTTGTGAATATCTAAAGTATTTAAGCTTTTAAATAAAAAGAGACTAGGAAAAGACTGAGTAACTATTATTTGTGCCTTACATTTCTAAGTTTGGAAATATCTTCTCATTCTATGAAGTGTATTGTTACGGAGTGCACTAACCTGGCTAAAGATTAAGATTCGAACCGTAACAAATGTACATATATACACTCGTATATTCAATTCAATTCAAAGTTTATTCTCTATAAGGATTACAATGCTGAGTTTACAGAATTTGGTTATTGTGTGGTTTACATGTAGTAAAATAATAATTACAGAGTGTACCACTAGAACACCTAGCATGGCTAGGCATTTCGGGCAGACTTAGATTAAATCTTAAGTTTAAAATATTACAAAATTATGAGGTAAGTTGGTATTATGGCTATGTGACTAAATACTAGTTTGTGAGTTTAGCAATGTGAATGCTTTTGTTTTGGCACTATACATAGTTTCAGTATTGGAGTATCACAGGCCAACTTATGACTAGTTAAGATTCATTATTTTGAGATTGAGATTGATATTTCTGTTTATGGTCAAATGGGTGAGTGAGTGTAAGTGTTAACCACCAGGTGGTATTCGTGTAATTAGTTGACAGGGTGTATCAGGGAGATAAGATGTTTTCTGATGGTAGTTTTGAAGGTGATGAATGTGTCTGCAGTTTTAGAATTTTCAGGTAGGGTGTTCCAGATTTTAGGGCCTTTGACATACATTGAATTTTTGTAAAGGTTTAGTCAGACACGGGGAGTGTCATAGAGATGTTTGTGTCTGGTGTTATGCCTGTGGGTTCTGTCACAACTATCAAGAAAGCGTTTTAGGTCAAGGTTAATACTGGAATTTAAGGTCCTGTAGATGTAGATTGCACAGTAGTAAGTGTGGATGTACTGAACAGGGAGTACTTACTACAACATTAGGTCCTTAAGCAAACACTATGATGACCTCCTGGCACTCCTTGAATCACTAAAGACACCCTTCTCCTGCATTATTCTTACTGAGACCTGGCTTAAGCAGGACATAATAGATATCTACCCTCTACCAGGATACACAGCAATCCACAACTGCAGACCATACCAAGTTGGGGGTGGTATTGCAATCTATTACTCTAACCAATTATCTTGTATTAGCACCACTTGCATTAGTGATGAATATGGAGAATACATTTTTGCTAATTTTACTGTAAAAAACCTTAAGACGCCTATAACATTCGGTGCCATTTACCGGATACCCCACACAAACATCCCAAATTTCAGTGAGAAACTAAAGGCACTAATAACAAACAGACAAATGAATAAGCACCACCTTCTCTTAGCTGTAGACTTCAACATCAACCTTGGCCTACTAGATGATCAGCCTGTAACTGATTTCATCAACAATATGAACAACACACTTCTCATACCAACAATAACTAAACCAACCAGGCTCACTGAAACAAGTGCAACCATAACAGACCACATATGGACCAATATACTAGCCCCCCTTAAATCAGGGATAATCACAGATAGCACTACAGACCACTACCCTACCTTCCTCTTGACAAACATTAGTAAACCACCACTTGAATACAACAAAGTTTCATTTAGACTCCATGATGAGGCCTCAATAAGGAAGTTCACAGCTGACCTAGAGACTGTTCACTGGCCTACAGAATTCTCCAAGGCCAATGGTATTGATGACTGGACAGACATTTTTCTTAACATATTACTTAGACTATACAACAAACATTGTCCTATAAAAATGAAACAGATCACAAACAAACGGCTTGCTTGCCCATGGCTAACCAGCACCATTCTGAAATCCATTGATAAGAAACACCAATATCAAAAGCAATATAGGCAGGGCTTAATACACAAAGATATTCTTAAACACTATTCATCAGTCCTCACCAAAGTAATAAAGAAAGCCAAACAACTATACTACTCCAGTAGATTCACTGACACAAGAGGAGACATAAAAAAGACCTGGAAAACACTCTCTCAGATTCTAGGGACCCACAAACTGAAAAAAAACAAGAATATTGCCCTAACTAAACCTAATGAAACACCACTGCATCCCACTGACACAGCTAACAAGATAAACGACTTCTTCTCAACCATAGGTTCTAATCTCGCCAATAAAATCCCATGCACCAATGCCCATGCCGGGGACTACCTAGATGGGAATTTCCCAAATTCCTTCTATCTTGCTCCAACTGAGCCCATGGAAGTCACTGAGATGATAAAGTCTCAAATCCATAAATACAAAACACCGATATGAAAAACAGTACAGAATGGGTCACATAACCAGAGACCAAACAAAACATTACTCGTCAATCCTAACCAGCCTGATAAGAAGGGCAAAAAAACTGTATTATGAGAAC